GCTGGGATTACAGGCTTGAGCCACCGCGCCCGGCAAAGAACCAAATGATTTTTATTCATATACATCTAGTTCATCTACCTAAAGTGTTCAGAACAGTGTTCAGCACATATTGTTTGATATAACTGTTACCTATGATGACGGTAATGATGACTGTACAGTCACTATATTTCTGAAGTCTTGTTTGGTAATCAATAACGTGTTTGGAACTCTCTCTTTATTAGACAAAGTCATAAACCAGAAGTTGCCAACTTCCTGTACATGTTGAAAGCTTTAAATAAACATCCTTCGATACAAAATATGGCCCCCATAGCTCAAACTTAATTCTATGACATAAAATTATTCTAAAATCGTACTTATTTTGAAAGTCTAAAGATTATTTTTTTAATGGCTAAAAAAATACCAACAAGCTAGACATTTTAATTCTGTTGAGATATACAAATAGAATTACTACAGCAGTCCACACATTCTACGATTTCTAAACATTTAAACGTCAATGGTTTTGGGGGAAGATGCTGTTGCCCTTCACACTTAATTAAAAGCTCAGATGCTTTTTGTGAAAGCCCAACTTTTCTTCTACCTGCTAAACTGTCTTCTCAGAAATCTTGCCGGATGTTTTCTTTGTTTGCCTCTCCATGTTGCTGCTTAATTTGATAGATTTCATTTTCTAGCTGAACAATTGTCCGTTCAATCTCGTAATTCTTACTGACCAGGGATACCCAATTTGACTCCATTTCTCTCAATTTAGATCCAGCTGTGAGTTGCATGTTCTTTCTCTGCCAGTTTAAATCCTGAATATGTTTTCTTAACTTCTGAAGTTCTTTCTGTGCGTGTTCAATCATATGAACTAGATTTTCAATGTATACTTTCCAGGCATTACATCCATGCTGTGACATTAGTTCCAGATTCTCAATTCTAACTGCTTGATGCTCCAACTGGGCCATAGAATTGTTTACACATTCTTGCCATGCAGTAATGTCATTTTTTTGACCAGAGGAAGGGGCTGGAAGCTCATATCGTTTCATACTGAGCAATTCAATTGGTTGTCGAGCAGCCAGTCTTTCAAATTCATTTCTCATTATGTCAGTTTCAAAGGCAGAATAATCCGGGGCTGTCAGGTAGCTCAGGTAGTTCTTAGTAGGTCGGTATCTGCGAGTTTCCTCCTCCACCAGCGCTGCAGCCGCTTCCCGCACACCAGGAGCTTCATAACCTTGATCAAAATACGGCAGCGCATCCACCACAACCTCTCCAGCCACCAAACCCGTGCCCGCCATTGTGGAAAACTCAGATTTGGCTGCGTTTTCTTCGTGTGCGTAAATTCAGTTCTGCTCAAGGTATCTTTCAGGTGAATGTTTAGCACATACACATGCACACAAAACAATTCACCATTATCAATGACATTATCAATGACATTCACCATTATCAATGACTGGGATGGCAAATCCACTCTTGCTTTGTAACCAAGGAAAGTCACTGCTGCCTGGTCCTAATGTGCTTAATCTTTATGAAGATGCCTCAGCAAAAGATGACAGGTATATAAGACTGTGTTGTTCCTTTGAAGTTTAGCTCATTATCCTTTGGTGACCATAACTCCATGTTTTATGCCTCCCCAATTAAAGTTCCAAAAGGCAACAGTAGGTCACAGCTGTCTCTTAGCTGGAGTTTAGGCTCAGGCGCAATTTATTCTCCTCTGTATGCTTGCTAGTAATCAAAGGAGTAACAGTTTCACACACCTAGAATGATCATTGAGTCAGTGGCCAGGGTTCATGCTGGATGACAGCCTTCTATACTTATAGAAAATACAGAATTTGCCCTCATAGAAACTACAGTACTGTGGTCAACAGGGTCATGGTCTTTAGATTCATGTCATCTGGACTATAAAGCAGTAGATCTGAATTCCCTTTTTGTTGATTGAGGCATTGACAGTTGGGCTGTAATGACAAAAGAGGTTATAAACTAGAACTTACCTTTGCTGATCCATATAGCGTTTTTATTGTAGCAAGTATATTTTTGGTTAGAATTAATACATCTCTTCTGGTTTGAATGAAAAGTCTTGTGAAATTGATGGAACTTAGTGGTTTCATAAGAGAAAGGGTGACCCCATGTGGCGATTTGGAAACATAACAGCAAATTATTTAGCATTCCCAGCTTCAAGGAGGTAGTGTATATTGATTGCCTTATTTTAACTCTGGTTGTGTTTGTGATTACTTTTATCAGTAGAATTATGGCAGAAGTGAGGCTATATGATTTCTATGAGTAGATCTTACTCATACAGCCTCCATGGTGGAGGAGATGCCATGAGTAGGCAGTATGGTTGACAGTCCCAGCTGAGCCCAGATTTCCAATTATCTATAGTAATGCAGCCAGAGGCCTGAATGAAGCCACCCCAGATCCTCCCAACCAGCACATCTGCCTCATAAAACAAAAGGATCACCCAGGGCAGCCTTGCCTGAATTCCTGACCTACAAAATAATGAGATATAATACAATGATTTTTGTTTTGAGCCACATTTTAGAGTCGTTTTTATGCAACGTTAGATAACTGGACACTCCTTGCATTAATTCAAGTTCTCCAAAAGCCAATACCAAGAGGAGATTTGACATAAAAGAGGTTTTTGGGTAATCACCTTTGAAGGATGAAGTGGGAAGGAGTGGAGTAGGCAGGGAAAGCTTTCAGATTCTGATGCAGGTCTGGAATCTGAAGGAAGGAAGATTAGGCAAGAAGAGTCTTATGCTATTTCACAAAAAAATAAAGTCCTTTTCCAGGCTGTAGTGGGAGTGGGAGGTTCTCAAGCCTATTAGAAAGATACTGCTCATCCCAAACACTTTATGATTGAACTAGAGTTTTGAACCTGTGTGTGGCATGCTAGAATTGATAGAATATAGCTTAGAAGCTCATCAAAACAACTTATAGAATCCCAATGTTAGGACTTTCTCCCTGTCACATTGTATGTCATCTATTATTATACCTCTGAAAATGTAGTATAGTTTTTTTTTTTTTTTT